AGAAATGGTGTCTCAAGTCTTGATGAATGAGACATTAACAAGCTTTGCTGCTCTGTTTATTTTCATTTAAACTGTGTTCCTGCCTAATCACTCAACTAGTTCAGAGGAACTGGACATGTGAGGCTGCCAGCACTCAGATCTGGAAATGCTGGGCACATGAAGGGCATTGTGTGGGTATGCACCATGGATGGAACAAAGCCTTATGGCACGTGTTCCTGACGTGCCAACCCTCCGTGTTACACAGCCCAGATCTCTCCTATTAATTCCTCTCTTTTCCCTGGCTCTGGGCTGGTTGTGCAGGCAGTGTTTGCACTTCTAGTTTGATCCACACTCACCCATCCATTGACAGAGCCTGTGCCACTGCTCCCACAGAATGAAGCTGTGCTTTTGGCATTACCTGGCAACAGCTGTGACCAGAGACAGCCCATCCCCTCCAGGACTGGCTCCTCCCACCTGCTCTAGCTGACCCCACCAAAAATTCCACTCATGTTTAAATAAGGTTCATTTTAAATAAGGTCATATTCTTGGCCCAAACCTTATTTTAAACTCATGTTTAAAATATTATTATATATAAAATATACTCATGTTTAAAATAAGGTTCAGGCCAATAACACACAGTCCCTGTTCCCAAGGGCCAGCCTGGATCTCACTTTTATCTGTGCAAATTCCCATTCTTACCACCAGTGCAACAATCCTGACACACGCTGGCTGCAGGATCAGAACCTGGCGAGCAGAACCCTCATTCCCAGGAAGTCATTCCCTGTTTCAAGTTACAAGGTCTCGCCCCTCCAAGGAATTTCTGAAGAATTTCTGAGTTAATTTACAAACAAGAAATGCTCTACCCAGGGCTGTTGGTGTATTCTACCAATAGAGTGCCTTTCCCTTCTCATATTTTAACACTGGAGATTTCCTTTGCCATCAGTTGGTCCCTGATCATCAGAGATCTCCTCCTGAGCAGAGGAGGACACTTCCTGCTTGTCCTATCAATGCTGCACGTGAACACCTGCCACAGCAGCTTCAAGGCTGATTTATCAATGGGGATGCTCAAGAAAGGAACTTGATATAATAAATGTAACAGGTAATTAATGCTGAGGCCCTATCCAGGATCCAAGGAAGTGGTGAGGCAAATCTCTCTCCCTAAGTTGAAAACTACTGCAAAGATTACTCCTGCAAGATACAGCTGTCTGAAATACAGACATTTTTATCCTGCTGTTATGGCTGATGAAAATATTTTTACAATTAATTACAAGGAAAAAATACCTAAAAAATGTTACTTTTGTAAAGGCTAAGCACAGGTCATTCCTAGATCAGGCAGATCACAGAAATTGACCTTTTTGGAACTTCTGTCAGATGGTGGGGAGGGAAGAGGAGAGACAGAGGAGATCATCTGACAGATGAGTCTCTCAACTTACATAGTACAGAGGAAGGAGTGGAGTGGGAGAGCTCAGACTCAAGCGATTGACTCTCTGAGTTTGCATTTCTCATGGACTTGCCCGCTGAATTGATGGAAAGAAACACAACATATGAACAAACAAAGATGAAGAGGTAGAGTGTGATCAGACTCCTCAGCAGGCACTGGCAGCAGGAGCGGCCTCGGGGGCACGGCAAGGGTGGTGACCAGTGGGATGAAGAAGCAATGGAAGAGGAGGAGTGGTGGGTGGAACTCAACCTCTCCATGTCCTCCTCCTTTGTGAAGGCTGTGTGAGGGTCAAGGACATGTGAAGGAAGAAAAAAAAGAAAGGCCAAAAGAAAAATAATGATAATTTAATTAGAAGCAGCAAGAACTCCGAAAATCTTTGAGCACACAAACAATGTTAATGATGTACTTTCAGGGGCAGTGTGGGTACCAAAGAACAGTTGTAAAGGTCGTAGGTGTGAGTGACTCTGTTCAGATGCCAGCGCAGATTTACCCCTGTATCTGGTACTCAGACACAATGGGCTTTGAAAGAGCTTTGGAAAAACTGTTCTTAGAAATTTGAATGATTTTTAAGGAACATATATTCCAAAAGAAATAGTTTAAACTGCTTTCTTTCTACCATTAAATCAAATTAGGTCAACAGGTATACAATTAATTACCAATACATTAAATATTTTGAGGCAATATACCTTCCAGATGTATTAAGCAGCACAGGTAAATCACAATTTGTCAAATCTCTAAGTGCCTTACAAGCTCAGCAATTCCCCATTGCCAAGCATGATTCTTACTAATGCTTTTGCTAATTTGTCCCTGGGGGCAAAAAGACACCATGAAAAATTCACATCTCCTGTCCATCTAACAACTCACCTTTCTGAAAATCTGTGGACAAAAATAACGATGCTATTCCATAGCATTACTTGAAAAATCAAACCCATATTACAGAGATGCTGCCCAATAGTTCCAGTCTCATTACTACAGGAAGAAATCCCACAAGCAATCCCAGAAGAAGGCATTGTCTGCAGTCCAGTTCTCAGCATGTTCTTCCTGTCTTGTCCTGTCATATTTAGGAGGGATCACTGTCATGTAGATAAGCCCATGATCGATGGTTAATGTCAGAAATTTATCTTAGCAGGGAACTTGAACTACAGCTTCAAGCCATGTCAGACTCAAATAATATAATTAACTTATTGCTTGAGTTATGAAAGCTCACTGTTGTTTGGCAAGCAGTGTTTCTACTAAAAGAAATATGTTCCAGTCCTGGAAGGGGTAAGTGTATATGTAAACAAGGCAAAGTTACAGACACTAAGATTTCCAGTAAATAAAAAATGAAAAGTAAGCCTGATTTTACTGCCTTCAAGTTAAACACCTGCCTTCAAAAGTGAAAACGGGACGAGATCCTGACACGAGAGGAGAATGCTCGGTGCACCCCTGACAGACAGGAGGAGAATTTGATCCGGAGGATACATTAATGATAGGTGATGTAAGATATTTTTAATTGCTCCTTGCCCTAATGAAGCCTAACATCCGTAACACTTGGCACGGACACGCACGTGCAGCAGCTCCCACAGAGCACAGAGCCACGAGCGTGCTGAGGATGCTGCACCCCAAACCAGAGAGGCAATGAACCCCAAAGAACAAAGGCCCCGTGCAGAGCTGGGTGTTTGCAGCACAGCAAGGGGCCCTGGCTCTGCCTGCAGCACTGGGACACCGGCACAGGAATAACACACAGCCTCTGCAGGGCCATTCCCTGGGAGCTGAGGCCTTAAAGCACACACTGACTCTGCTGCTCAGTTACAGCCACGGCCCCTGCTCCTGCCCTGCAAGGACAGGGCCTATTCCCACGCCCTACTCCGTGCTGCAATGAAAAGCAAAAAGGTCTTACACGTTCTTTATCATCTAAGGTGCAAAGCATTCCTTCTGGATCTGAACATGGTGACAAACATCCTGAGTCATCTTGAGCATATATGGAAGGACCTGGAGAATTCTCTCTCCTTCCTCTGCAATCATTTGTTCCTATCAGTATTTTATCTCTAGTAGCTGTTCCTGACAAGAGACCAGCTTTCTCACTGTTCTTCTACAAAACATACATCCAGGACTCAATCTGGCTGGGGGGGGAATAATCTTTCCTAAGTGTCTTGCTAGAGCAGGAAGCTGGAGCTTGTGAGAGGTGTCAGGAATGCAGGACTCCCTATTCCCTGAATCATTCTACAAATTAGACCCTGGGGGCACTGTTAGCTTTAATTTATAATAAAACAGTATGAACATCAGTCTCCAGAGGAAAGATGGGAAGTGTGAGAGGAATACTAAAAAGTGAAAAACACATAAGTTCATGAACAATTAATAAGAGGGAGAACATATTTGTCTCTTAAATGAACAGAAAATTAAATCCTTGTACACTGCAGGGAAAGACACAAACAGGATCTTGTTCCTCAGACCTGTGCTTTTGGCAAGATCCCCTTTTCTGGTTTGGGAATACCATATATTGTGGCCATCCAACTGCATGATACTGCAGAATCATAAAAGAATTAGGCAAATTATTTTCATTGTTGTGTTTTCGTATGATTGTATCCCCTGAGGTACAATTCTATGTGGTAAGCTTCACACAGAATTTTCTAGAAAGTCTACCGTAATAACACTACATTAGACCATCACACAGAGGCCCTATAATTAAATTATTCATTTCATAAGCTTAGTTGTTAAATACATCAAATAGTTTGAAGAAAGAAATACAAAACATTATGATTAAAGGTAAATTACACTGTGTTTTCCAACGCATCAGCTGCAGATCCCTGTAATTGTTCTCTCCTTTCACAGCAACTCAAACCACCACCACCTTGTTGCATCCATTCTCCCTGTTTCATCTTACTATCACCTCTGGCCCGCATTTCATCTGTACATACATCATTGTTTTTGAGATCAAAAGCCAAACTATTTTGTGAATCAAAGACACACAAACCAAATACTCCCTTTTTCAAACCCTTTGCATTTTAAAACATAATGCTATTAAAATAGGTATGTGTAACATCACAGCATAATGTTTAGAGCAGGGAAAAATGGAAACAAATATTATCTGTGAAGCTACAAAACCAGGTTTATAAAAAAGTTTTGATGTCAGTTTTTTAAAGAAAAAAAGGAGATTAAAATAAGTGTATGGACAGAACAAAAGGAAGCCAAACAAATACACTGGCATCTGAACAGAATAAAAATAAAAATGGTGACATGAAAAAAAAAAACAAAACCAAACCCAAAACACAAATGGCATGCTAAACATAAACTAAGTAAATGTTACAAAGCACTGACTTAGACATTTATAATCTACTTCTATTATTACTGGAACTAATATCTTAGTCAAAAAGCAGTAACTTTAAACTCTTAATCCCAAAACATCATGGGAAATGGTGTTTTGGGAACTGAAAAGTTACAGTTAAGTCTCAAACACATCTAAAGTAATTTCTTCTAAAGAAGGAAACCCACTATTCTCTCCTAAAATTCATTAGGGGTTCCTGTGTTTAATGGCCCACTGAAATACAACCACACAACTCATGTTACTGCTTCTCCAACCATTTCCAGCATGAAATCATACCTTTCACATCCTCATCTTCGATGGTCGTGTTGGAACTCTCTGTAGATTCCTGTTGAGAAGCAAACATGAGTCAAGTGTACAAAACAAGGCAGGCCTTAGGAAAATGACAGGATTAGTTACAGGAGTCATGCAAAGCCTTGAAGCAGGGTGGGATGTCATTCACAAACAAATGGTCACGCACTGATTGAGACATTTCCACCTGAAATGGATGTCAAACATTGCCATTCTCCACAGGAGGGAACAGAAACACAATTCCTGCACTCTGGTGCTTTTACTTCACAGGAATGTACAGGAAAGGTTTTTTTCTTTAACGTCCAGCTCTACAAAGTCCATCTGAATGTACGAATTACCTCAGCCAAGTAGGAGTGCTTGCCATTTTAAGCTTAGTGATTAAACCAGCTGTGCAAAATAAGTCATTCCATTCCAATTTCACCTTCCAAATATGCAGGCTTCCACAAGCTACAATTTACAACCAATTTCCTGCTCGTGTGACTTATGCAATGTATTTTCAAATGACAGTGATCGGAAGCATATTGGATTAGATGATCTCATTTTTATATTGGTTTTTGTGATTTTTTTTAAGGAGATGAAGAACTGATGAAAGTATGTTAAGAACTTTGACAAAATAAGGCATCTTTGTAGCAGTATTCTTCAACCAACCAGTCATGCAGAGGAATGACTCATCTATCAGACAGTTTATTCTTAAGCCATCACACTTAAAAAGGCAAGGATATTCTATCTCAGCCTTTCCTTAATTACCAGAAACATGAAATATAATGGGCAAATTCAACAGGGCACTGTCAAATCTAACACCTGCAGAGAGCTGGAAAGTTTTAAGCTAGATGGTTTTTTTATCTCTGTACTCTCTTGAAAAGTTAATTTAATTTTTTTTTTTGCAGCTCAATAACAAAAAAGATTAACTGATCTGTTTTTATCTGACACAGAAGACAGGACTGGTACTGTATTTAATTCTTTAAAGGATTTTACAATTCCATAATGAAAGGCAAATTTGCCAGTGCCCTTCATTTACTGTGTCCTCACAAGGCTGAGCCAAAGGAACGTCCAAGAGGGCTAATGCATTACTCAGACCTTCCAAACCCAAATGTGCATTGATAAGTCAAACTAGAGGAATTAAGTCACACACAAACAAAACTGAACGAGCCACCATGCTGCCCCTGCCCTGGCTGTGTTAGACATTCCACTCTGCACGGACGTATCATGCTCTAGCACTTCAAACATTAGATAAAGTACTTACAAGTGAACAAAAACCTCACACAAATATGAGTTGTAAACACCATGCAAAGCTCACAGGGCAGATGTAGCCTCTAACACTGAAGCATCCACTCCAGTTGCCATACTACAAGGATCAGTCTTTCAGATAAATTTAGGAGGAACTCTCCACATTAAGGGCTTGGTTTGTTTGCTGTGACCTTTTGGGACATTGAGTATCTCAGTTGTTGAGATAATGTAATAAAATCAAGTAGATGTAGTCATGCCAATATTTTATCTGGGTTTTCTGGGCTTTAGTGGACTTCAGCGATAAAGATCAGCCTGCTGCTCAAACACAGGCTGCTGGTGGCCTATGAGTTTCAACTTGGGAGCTCAAAGAGTAGTAACATGGAAACACAAGTTCTGTGTAGGACAGATGCAGGGGACATAAAGGATTGGGACACACAAGCACAACACACACCATCAGCACTTCCATGCTTGGAGGAATGGCTGCATGCGTTATGTCATCACTCAGACCCACTCCTTCTCTTATGAGATAACCACAGGGAGTTAAGACTAGATAAATGGGATGTGAATTAAATCAGCACTGCAAACAGTGAAATTCTTGTTGAAGCATAAATTCTTTTCAGGAAACCTAGGAACATGTGTTAATGTAAATGATGGTATTTCCTGGCCCTTTTCAAGTCCATGCATGAAAAAAACAAACAAAACAAAACACGTTTTAGGGATCAGCTGCCAGACGCAAACATCACAACACATGAGAAAAAGAGCGTGAAGAAAACATACAAAAATCAAAAGACCTCTTTGTCACTTGAAATGTGAAATTTTTTTGGAAACTGCCCAGTGATGTTATGGAAGAAAACCAAAGTCCTGTGCAAAGACACGTCACGACACAGTGTATAAGCATGCTGAGAAACAGCAGATGGAATAAACTGAAATGACATCTTTGTCTGAGTGACGGCTGCGCGTAAAACTCGCGGGGATCATCTCACCACACTCTGAGAACAGCACTCTTAGGTTTCCCTTAGACTGCAGCATTTTTGGCTGAAATGAGAGAGATCCCCTGCTCCCTGGGCTGGGCTGCACAGGGCACTGAGCTCTGCCCAGGGCTACCGACTCCCCCAAGAGCTTCAGGAGCTCAGAAGCAGCAGGACGCACGCAGCAGATGGACACGGATGGAAACAGCTCGAGAGACACTGGGTGTACGAATGCAGGAATGAGATTTTCCTCCACAAATTCTTGGAACGGCCCTACTGTGCTGAGGAATAGTGGATGGAATGTGTGGTGTGGAAAAGCAAGATGGAGTTGATTCTTTCTGAATACCTTATTTCCATCAGGGTTGTGGATTACTGTAGTTTGGGGCTCCTGAGCGAGAACAAAATAAAGAGAGAAAGAGTTCCCATTGGTAAATACATTTTCATTGGTGTGAGGGAGTGCAAGAAGAGCCAGCTCACAAATGCTGAACACTGACAAGAGTTAAAACAAATGTTAACTGTCGCCAGGGGGTGAAACTGGATGTCTCTAACACAGATTTCCTCAACAGCAAGCCAGCAAAAAAGGCCATCTCACCTAATGCAGCAGCATGCAGAGACCTTATTCAGGACCGGGGTGTGCAGGGCTTTGAAGCTCTGGGGACCTGCAGAGGCTCTTCTGGATGAGAGCAAGCCAAATGCTCTGTGGGTTTTCCTGTCTGAACCTGGACAGGCAGGGCAGCCACAGATCTTTAAGCATTAATAACTTCTCTTTAATCATGTTTGCTTGCATTAGCATGAAGTGATCCAATTGAAATACAGTGGAATTGATAAGGATTAAGGATGACTACCCCTAGGCACTACCGTGGTTTAGAATGTGTGGACTGCTCTCAACTCCTGCCTTGGCAGAGCTGCATAAAACTAAGTGTGAGAGATCTTTGTGCCATTTAAAAGTGTAATTTCCCCAAATGCTTTAACTTTTTTAAAAAAAGGTTCAATCATCTTTGAACTAGCAGCCAGCTTTCAGCATGGGCCATTGGGCACTGCTCTGTCTGGGAACAGACTGCCATAAACTCCTGCGTGCAACCTGCTGACCTGGCCTTAGGAAGAACTCACTGCATGCCTCAGTGCCAGCTGCTCAAAAAAGCTGCAGAGGAAAAATGCTTCCTAATGTGTGTGAATTACCCCATTTTCAAAGTTTTATATGTGCATGGGAAACAAGAAGTCACAACATGATGTACTTTGGCACTGGCATTTACATTGGTGAGCCCCGTGACACACAGGTGCCTTAGAAATTGGGCTATTAATAAAAGCCAGACTGCAGTAAACATCCAGGAACATCACTTGGATTTGGAATATGCCCTTAGCAGAGCTTATTAATGTATAATGTCTCCTGCTGATTTAAATGGAAGAGGAACAAGCAAAATGTTTAGCTCTAGATGCCTCTTGATCCCAGAGAAATCTTGCAAAGTCCTGCTGAGTTTCAGGAAATATGGAATGAAAATCTGAATAAGGTCTGTTTTACGGCAGCCTAGTAATAATCCTGTTAGCTCTCCTGGATGTCAACACTTTAACTGAGACAAAGCCGAGAAAATAAAAGAGCTGGTTTTAAAAGATTTTGTTGGTGCAAAAGGTTAGCATTAGAAGGTGGCAACAGTCATCAGGCAAAGAGCTAAGAGCAACACCAAGCACATTCTACTCACTTTCTGGCACAGCATGCAAAAAACTCAGCTACGGTTACAAATGCTATGACTCTACCGCATCCAGCTTCCATTTAACATTTTCTGTCAATAAACACGCTCTAATGGGTTTCCTCACAAAAAAAAGACAGCATAATTCAAACAAAAAGGTTTTCCAAAACCTGTTTTTAGAAAGCAAACAGAGTAAATGCATGAAAAAGCAAAAAAGAGGAAAAAAAAAAAAAAAAAAAGGAAGAACAAACAGAAGACAGTCAAAAACTTCCAGATAGCATGAGAAGGAAAATTCCAGGTATACCAGCGCCGGGGTAGGAATATTTTCCTTGGGGCTGGTTACCACGTTGGTTTTGTTGTTTATCTGTAGGTATGCAGAAAACAGAAACAGACAGGCCTTAGAACTCGCCGTAGGCACCGTATCTATATCTCTGACACAACATCTATAGACAGGCATCGGTATCTATAGATAGATATAGATATGGAAATAAAGAATACAGAAAGATGAACTTAGGAACTTGCAGGAACGCTGACACTAACTCCAGGAGCTGGCTGGCAGCTCCTGCCCATGCGCTGCCACAGCCCTGCACCAAGGTCTGCATAAGGGATGGATGAGTTGAGCTGAGACACTTAGCAGAGAGCCCTTAAGTAGCAGCTAAGCAGGTCTAAGAAGAATAAAGAATTAAAGTCCTAAATAGTCACTGCCATTTCGTGACATGCAATGGTGTTCACTCATTGCACTCCATAGTTCTTTATTTCTAATGAATTATCCCTACCATAAATAACATTTGAGTATTTGCAGTGCTTCAAGAATCTGTCATTTGTTTTACTGGCTGCTGATTCCACTTTGGAATAAATGTGACTGAGGCTAGAAAGAGACTTGTGCCCCTTGAGCTTTTGTGGTGCTATTTTTAGAGAAAGTCATTGGCAGCTTCTCAGTGCTGGTACTGAGACTTGGAAGCAGCAGGTTTCCCACTGTGGTATCTGCAGCCTTCCTCCAGCCATCAGCACCTCTCTGTTTAACTTTACATACAGGTCCTCACAATATCTCTGCTTAGCACAGGGCTACACCTTCTGGCTTTTATCAGTACTAATTAAACTGCTCAGCAGGAAGTTTCAAAGTATCTGATCCTTTACATCCATGTTTTAAGCTTTAACTTTCATTAATACCATGGAGTATGGGAAGAACAGAAGTACTAAAAATAATGTAGTGAGCCACTTTTTACATGCGCTAAGAAGCAAGATTCAGGTATTGTCAAACTGGTTTGAAAGATGTGTTTTTTCCTCTCTCAATAATGAGGAAAAATTATTATGTACATTTTGGTCATATCTAATTTTAACAAGGGTGGTCCAAAGCATCATGCAGAACTAGGTGTATAGATACAGATGATCTGAAAAGACTTTTAATCCAAAAAACCAGGTTCTACTGAACCTTCTAGTCTTAGTACTTAGTAGTAAGTGTGCAAAGCAAAACCAGAAATGCCTGAACTTGTTTTGTTGATGGATTTTCCTAAAAATGTAATTAACTTTACGGAATGGAAAGAAATGAAATTCCCAGACTCCATGTCCTCAGCACTTTATGATGATTATTTTACTTTGGGCCAGGCATGGCAGCTGACTTGTGGACTTCAGGAACTGAGACTGCAGCTGAAGTGAATCTTACTTAGGATATGTTTAAATTATGGAAATGTCCACAGGATTTGTAGTAATGATTTACACACTGCACATTTACTAATTTTTAACCAGCATTTAACTAGCTTTGAAGAATATAAAGTAGTTTTGTTGGTTAATCAGGGAACATTATGTAGACACTAAATGTTCTTTAATAATACTTGTGATAGATACTGTTTTCCCATATAGAATTTCTTTGATTTTAAAGCAAAATTCATGATGCTCTACAGCAGGAGGATGAAGAGCAGTTATTTTTTAAACAATGATATTTCTGCAGAAATTGTCATTAAGAGAACATATGAGTCAGTATTGAGATGCAATTGATTAAGCTCTGACTTGGCTTACTTAGTGCCAAATAAATTCCATTTCTCTATGCACAATTACAGCTGTAAGCTGTAGGACTGTCTGAAGTCAGGATAGGGAGAGAACAAACACCTTTGTGCATAAAGTCTTCCACGGGGACATTTAAGTATTGGCAAGTATTTTACTTGCTTTGGTATTTGTGGGATTCTGAGATGGGCAGAACTTTGAACTCCTTACTCAGGAAAAAACTTTAAAGAAAATCTCACCCATTTCAGTAAATGAAAATTCTACTGGAGATCTGTAGAAGAGTGGGAACACAAACAAAGCTGCCTGACAGCAGACTAAACCTTCCAAGCAAGACAAAAATTGCATACTGAGTCACGTAACTACAGATTCATAGTTTTGTGTCAGTGTAGTCATCAAGAGACTAGATTAAAAAGACTCTAGCAAAAAGCAAATAGACACAAAGGAAAAACATAAGGAAAGAAATGAAGATTTCACCAGATTTCATACAGCCCTATTCAGTAGCAGCTCAATACAAAAACCCAAGTGGTATCCCAAATGAGTGCTCTTGGTTGAACACATAAGGAAAATCCAGTCAAAGTTCAATTCCAATTTTGCCTGAGTAAGGAGAGCAGGCTTTGGTCCATACTCCCTTGGTGAAAGCCCTATGAAAATAAACAATATTCATTACAGCTACTGCTGTAAACTGCAGGAAATTTATTCAAAACTTCTTCAGTAAGATATCGAGAATCCAACACTTCTCAGGAAGAGAGAGAGAGAACGTGATTCAAAATGCAGTTATTTCTTCCATGTAAACAGAACTTGGTAAAACCCTTTCAAACTTTGCAAGAAAACAGCAATAAGCTATAGACCTTTCTCTCTCATAGAAAGAGACATTAATCTAGGAACACATGGTGCATCTTGCATGTATTTTTAACACCAAAGGGAAACCACTCCAAAAGAATTACAATATTGTCATATGAAACAGTTCCTTCAAAGCTGATTTGTGCTTAACCAGTGTCCTTCTGTTGTGAAGGAGAATGTTTTATTGCTGCTTCTCTTGCCAAAAGTCACTTTGAGGTGTGACAGTAGTGCAGGACAGACATACACGCACTCCAAACAGCTGGGAACAACTCTAGTATCCTGACTGGCCTTTTTTCCATAGAATATGAAAATACTTTAACAAATAAGGCCTGTATTTTGGGGCTTTACCTTTCACACACCACTTCTGTACCAAAGACTCAACGCACACCTGAGGTTTGGGATCCTGGCAATAATCACACTGCACCTTCCCAGCGCCCCTCCTTTGGATGCTGTGGCTCCTGCCACTGGAATTCTGCTTTCACCCAAGGAACAGAGGATTCACCTACAGAACTGCCCGGCTGCTCACGCCTGACCAGCAGGTTTTGCTTCCCAAGGAGAGCTGGCTTCCCAGGGGAAGGTGTGGATGAGGGCTCTGTGCCTTCTCTCTGCTGGCAGCAGCAGCAGGCAGAGCCCATCCTTCCTCACCAGCACCTCTAAGGTCACACTCAAACCCACCACCAACAGCAAGAGAGGAAGTCCCCGTGTCGGTTAACGGAGCCCAAATGAGCACAAGATGGAGAGTAGGTCGGGGAGGAAGGGAAGTTATCGAGACTGTCAGCTGGGACACCTCGGGACACAGCCCTGAGCTGTGGAGCTGGGAAACCAGCGAGGGAAGGTTGGGAATTTGGCTTTTTTACTCCTGAGCATTTAGCATGGCATCTTGGGCTACGGTGACTCAATTAATGAAACATCGTATCACTGTGTAACTTGTTTTGTGTTACATTTTACAATATTAATATTATTAGCTTTGGAAATAAGGAGGTTTTAAAAACAAAGAGAAGGCTGTTACAAGATTACTATTTTGTTACTATTCTTATTTACTAAGAACAGCTGCATTGGCTGATGTTACATCTACTTTTTTGGCTTTTTATGTCCCCAGGTTAAAAAAAGTAAAGACTTGTTTGAAAGAATGGCTGAACAATTCACTGTGGATGGCATATAGCAACTGCAGGCTTAAAATTCACAAGGTTGTACTTTAAAGTCTTGCAGTTCTCACAGTAAGTTAACAAAGCTAAATGCAACTGCTTGATTTCTAAGTGTGAACGTTTCACAGGAGGAAAAAAAATCTGTCGATAAAGATCCTCACCATCATCTGAACACTCGAACTGGACTTCCTTTTCTGAATTGACCAGTCAGAGAGAAAGGAAAAGAAGAAAACGTGACTGGTTGGATTTGCAGTATCAATGCATGGAGTACAGTATATTTCTCTTTTGGCTTTTTTTTTTTTTTTAAATATGAAAAAGACAGCTACAGCTGTTGGAAGGGGTGGAAAAATGCTACAGAATATCTCAATAACAGCATCTCAACAACAGCAATGACAAAAACAGACTTCCCTTCCCCAGATGTACATTTACTCCCTTTGCTCCACATGACCATGCAGACTAACAGCAGATACATAACACGTGCTGAAAACCAAAGAACTGAATCCCAACAGGTGAAATTTAGGCAAAATTTTGGCAACAATTGTTTCCCATATTATAATTGAGATTGTGACAGAACAAATAGCATCGTAGACCTGTAGGAGGAATGATATTTAGAAAGGAAAACTGGTCAGAGAGAGTGCATAAATTTTATCTGTTCCACAATGAAACATGGTCAGGGTTTTCCAGCAGTGACAGAATTGTTCCAAGTGTGCCTCTCCATGGGACTGGGGCATCCACTGCTTGGCAGGGAGAAGCAATGCAATGGTACTGTACTCATTTCTTTGGGGGTCAGGCTCGGGATTTTTTGATTGGCAAAGTGCATTTGTCAGAAAGCAGGCACAAATATACTGTGAATGTGGTATTTAAACAAGTATTTATAATGCTTTGTTCAAGTAAGACATTAGGATTAGATAGAAAACTAAAATTCAGGTCAAAGACACCCTTCTGAATAAACATACAGAGCACAGAAGAATATCTTTTGAATCTTACAATGAAAGCTTGAAGCATTATAGCATTACATTAGTCTTTAAGAGTCCTCTGAGAAAAAAACAAAAATATGTTTTCTGCTGAATGGTTTTTTTTTTCTTTTTTTTTTCCCCCAAGTATTTATGCAGAACTTTTATTTGTGAAGCATCTCTCCTCCTGCAGGGTCTGGTGACGTGAGAACAGGAGCTCTAAATCATGTACGAAAGCTGCCAAAATGTTCCCTTCTTAGCAAGGTCTCTTAGTCAGGATGAGCTGATCTGAGACAGTAAACCCCTCAAGTTCTGCCAAATATAGCAAGTACATCTGGCAGAACACACCTCATGTGGAGCCCAGCCTACACGGACACTTTTGGTCTTCCACCAATTCTAATGGAAAGTCAAGGGGAAACAAAGAGGCAACAGAGCTGCACATAAACAGTGATGCCTAAAAAGCCCACCACCAAACCATTATTTACAAGTTAACTGATAATTCTGTGTCATTAATTACATAATCATTGTTCATTAAAAAAGCAAGAAAAAGCATTTTCTCCAGTACTTTTCTATCTTCTGCTTACTTAATGCTGGCTTTTCGAGTATTTGTTTTATTTCATTTCTAAGCTTCAGCTACTAACTTGAACCACTCCAAATAGCTAGTGAGAGGACTTACTAACAGAATCTATGAAGGAAAGAAATAGCAATAATCAATTCTAAAACCTAGCAGAAGTTACAGACAGGTGGAGACTAAGAATTTATCGTTGAAATGGAAAGCAGGTGTTGAACCTACCTTAACTCCATCCGGCTTTTTCAGTAAACTCTTGGCTGCTGTAAAATGAGACAAATAATTTCAGTGTCAGGTGTTTCTCCTGAGGTCACCCAGCTGCGCAGCAAACCCCCAGTGCCTCCCTGCTCCAGCTACGTCCTCAGCTTTTATTTCCTCCTTTTGTTTCTCTGAGCATGGGGAATGAAATCTTTAGGAAACCAGCAGTCCTTAGGATTATCAAACATCTCTTTTTCCATTGACCAAAGCTGTAGGTTGACAAGGAGAGAGCTCCTTGGGTGGCAGAGAGGAAATGGAAGCAGGGCGAGTGTAAAAGCAGCAGCTTTGGCTGTAGCCATTTTCACAACTGCAATATATTCCTACTGGATGATAGGGAGAGTTTGATAAGACGTGAAAAGGTATTTTCCTGATGGCAGGGACTTGGCCCAGGTGTGTGCAGAGCCCACTGGTATCTCAGTGATAGCACCAACATACATAAAGCCCCTCTGTCATTCCCACCATGACAACATCAGCCTCCCTGCATGAAAGGGCAGCACAGTGGCAAGGAGGAAAGGAAACAATGATTTGCTAGTGAAGGGTTGTTCCGGAGGGCTGCTGTCTGTGAGGATATAATAACAAATTCTAGGCTTTGCTTCAGTTCCTAATGAAGAAAACATGCTATTTTCTGAATCATGTTGCGCACTGATCAAATTTCTTCAAAATTTCATTTGCCATAATGTTATTCATGTGCCAGACTTTAAATTCCACCACTTGAAACCAGCATCAAACAATTTGGATTTACTAAATTTGGAAGGCTAACGTGCAAACAAGCACAGCCCAGCTCTGAACCTGAAAACATTCACAGCAGAAATACATGCTGGCTGACCTAGCAAATCCATATAAACTATTCACTAAAGCGTAAATGCTTCATGAATCACTGCCAAAGACTTGAAGAATAATAAATTACACAACAAGCCTGCTGTTATTGGGGTTTTATTGTTGTTTATGACCCAATCTTCCCATCAGAAAGTGCTCCCCAGCTCAGGTCAGAAGAAATTGCTGTTCTATATATGGGGGAGACAGTCCCAACATGGAGCTGCCATCGTTACTGGCATTCTTATCCTAACAAAACCCCCAAAACTCCAAATCAATTGGACCTCACATGCCCAAGGCTGCTCAGGCTGGCTGAGGATATGGGAGTTACTGAGTGTCTGGTTTATCTTTAAAGCTAATTCTTGTAATTGTGGCTTATTTTTGAGCTATATCTGCACTAAGTGCTCATTTTACAGCACAGAAAATGTAGAATCACCTCAGCAACTGTAAAGAAATTACTAATGTCCATTATTGTGCTGTTTACATGAAATAAACCCTGGAAAGTGAAGTCAGCTTGATGTTTCTGACTTCATTAATGTATCAGCCCTCCAAGTGCAGTTCAATAACTGTGGACCTCAGCCAGCACTACCATGAGACCTCCCCCACAGCCACATCTCACAGCTAAAATGAACCACAATAAATTGGCCTGTATTGTGCAGCAGTACCACTGCATGCTTTCGTTTAAAGAAACATAAGTGTAAATATTGAAACCAAATTGTTCTCCACATACTTTGGAGATTGGACACTCCCTGAGGCAATGTGTGCTTTCAGGACCTGAGGCAAGAGGGCCTTAGATTTTACATTACCACAAATATTGTGGGCACTCCATTACCTTCAGGAATTTATTTAGGGAAAGCAATGGGAAGGAGATATTTCTGAAACCTAAGGACAAAAAAACCCAGAAGTTAATAGCTTTCAAAGCCTGCTTTACACTCTTAGCCCTTATAAAAATATGGGAAAACATAAATTAATTCTTACAGACTGCTGTAGGTCCTTTCACTAAATTTGTGCATGAAACTTCTGAGCTCTTTTGATGCTTGCCAAAGACTACATGTTCTATGTAAACAGGTAAATGAGAAGCAGTAAAATGGGGGCACCACAAGCAATAACACTGAGTATTCATTGTGTCCCTTGGAGTGTGCCCAGCACGGATTGCTACACATCCCACCACTCTGCTGGGCCTGGCTGCAATGGATTTTTAACACTACTTGGATTCATCTTTCTTTAATCACAGATACTGCACACAAATCAAATATTTCAAGAATTTGCAGGAGCAAAGCAATCGGCAGAGTCTAAATTAAGCCCACAATGAGAGATTTCTTGCAACTACAAGCAAGAGCTAAAAATAAAACCTAAGGCAGTGCTACTAGGCCAGAAAGCAGACTGGAAACAAATGGTTTGTGACAGCATGGAGAAATTAAAGTGATTGAGGACAAACAGCAGCTTGGATTGAGAAGAGAAAAAAGATGTTCCTTTCACGTGCTGAGGGTCTTACCTCACAAGAAATACACATTCCACATAAAAGGAAGAAAAAAAAGGAAAGTAAAACACTTTTATAACCACATCATTATGGACAAATGACCTTCATAAGCATGTTTTGCAATGAAATACAATGAATAAAGAAACCGAAAAAATAAACTGTCATCGAGAAAAAACACAGGTGGCTATGGTGTAAAACAAGAGATGTCAGGTGAAAAAACCAAAAAAAGCCAAAAACCCTTGTTTGCTTTTCATGCTGAAACACTGTTTAAAATTACTACAGCTTTTTTGGTTTGTGGAAGTTGAATTTGATCCTTACATATATAGACAGTGACAGTTATGAAAAGGGATGAGGAATGATTTGTTTGATATTTAACAGTAATTCATTTTTACAAAAAGGACAGCCTACAGCCTTCCCACTTTTAAATTAATTGGGAGACACTGGAATTCATTAAGCACTAACTCAAGGTAATTTAGATGAATGTGGTCCTCTGTGTAAGGTGTGTACTAAAGAAGGGAACTTTACTAAGAAAGAAATTGTATTTCAAGTACTATGCAAATTGAACAAGTTGTTCTTGCATTTGTGATTATGTAATGTTTTTGGATGAGTCAGTGCTTATTATTATTCGAAACATGCCCACAGCACTATCATGTTTTTGTCTGTACAGTAATTTATGTTACACTCCAATAGCTACATCACAGAGTAGGAGGATATATAAAATTACTGATTTTTAAATCTGGTGTTCCATTTCACTATTCACTGGAAATCTCAAATGGCAAAATGAGAAATTCAACACAGCATCAATATTCTGGCAATCCTACTACTTTGGACAATTCTAACTCTGCTAAGAGCAATTTTAGCTTTTGCTATTAGAGCTTGTTTAGTGTAAGATCTAAATCTCCAGAGCCATCAGGACAAAACTGTTTCATGAGGAGGAAAGAACTCTTCTTACACCAGCTAGGCACTGCTGGGCATTAGAAAGAAAATAGGGACTCGTGTTACTACACTTCTTACCCCTTAGCAAAGCAATAAAGAGATGAATGTGTACTGATGATATTTTTAATACAGGATGCAACAGAATCATGGAATGGCTTTTCACATATATGAAAATATATAAGCTCTAAATGTTGTTTGGTGATACCTGTGCATGTGGAGCTATATGCATAACTTTCCATTTGCCTGCACCAAAATAGGCATGAAAATGCTGCCTGCCTTTGACAGGTAACAATCAAAAAGCAGGGAAGGAGCTCAAATTCTACAGAAAATTCAGATTGTCACCTGTAAGAGAATTTCTTTGGCCCAAAGAGATTAAATTCTTGTTTGCTTCATCACGGGAAATAACATGATATATATTACACCTAGACACTCCTGAATGAGTCCTAATTAGACCTCAGCCTTCACAGACATTAAAATATAAAGACTGCATCAATCTGGAGCTCAATGAACATACCTGAGAAATTTCTGGTAGCCAGCATTGTTGTCAAAATGGCCCCCTGTGTACACACACATTTTCTCAAATTAGCATCACACATGTGTAAAACTCCTAATGCCAACACAACAAAAAGGAAAATAAACGAGTAAATGGCACTAATTACTGAATTAACCCTGAGAGAATGGATTATCTGTGCACTTCCTCTCATATGCCATGTCATGAGTGCATAAATCATAATTTAATCTTAATTACACACCTCTCAGCAATCTTGATATCCAAATATTTGCCAACTGTAATGTAATTGTAATGCACAAGCCAGGAGTATTCAGAGGCTCAGCAATTATTCAAAATACAGAGATTAACATGAAAGAGACTTTACTATTGTTCTTAGATTCTTTTCTTTAGGGAGGAATAGGAGCTTATTTGTAATGTACACATTAGACAAGTTCACATCTGCAAAGTTATCATATCTGGCCAAGAAAAAACAAAGCATAGTTCAGAAAAATAACCTTAAGGATTTTCCTTCAAGAGCATACCTTTAGTTTGTGTAAATACAGAGGATTATTATAGTTCTGAATTATAAAAGAAAAGCCAAATTCTATTCACTTTCATGGAAATTTTAAGATCTTCAAGCCAAAAGCTGATCTTCTATCAACAGGTCATTTAATAATAATATCTAGAAAAACTCTGCACAGAGACCATTTGTTTTGCACAAGCAAAAGTTTTCTTTCTTACCTTTAGTTTTCTTCTTGCATTGAATTTCTTCAAGCAATCTACAGTCTCTTGTCTGTGCATCATAGAGGCAACAGTAGAACGTTGCTGAGAGAAGAAGAAAATAATTATTTTAAGGCACCCAGCCAGCTGTTTATGGCTTGTTTACTCTACAACACATATATTACAACCCATGGTCCTTTAATTTCTACCTTGTCTGACTAACCCATTGTGTTCCTCTTACTCAGTCTTTTCCATGTGTAAAGTCCACTTGAAAAGCCTTGGTGTGGAATGTACTGAGAACAGAGAAAAGTCCTGGATCCAGGAAGAGCCAGGCAGCCTCTGCTACCTGCAAATTGACTTTTCACAAGTCCCATAATTCCCTCCCTGCACATTTCATGTTTATCAGAATGACTTCAGAGAAATGAAGATGCAAAGCATTATCTAACTCAAAGTTACTTTCCTCCACTCTCTTCTCACTGAGAATTTAAAATAACACTCTAATTTTCGCAGGGAACATTCTGCACAACACAGTCAAGGCAAAAAAGATAAATTTGCAAAAATCTTACCCCAAGCTGAGATCTCTATAAATACAGACCACTATTGATCATATCTGTGTAATTATAATTTAACGATTTATAGTTACACAGCTGCATGAACAAGAACAGAAGTTCTTCACCAAACACATTCAGTACTTCATGCTGAAGTAAACCATAAACTGATTTGCCTGCCAAGTGATCATTGAACATGTGGAAATTACTTACACAGATCCATGGATGCTTTAGTGCTTCTGATGCTGTGATACGTTTTGCTGGGTTGATGGTGAGCATTTTATTGATAAGGTCTTTTGCTTCAGGAGTCACTGTGTCCCATTCTGGTGAGGGGAACTTCAGAAAAAAATACACACATATGTATATTGCCTTGTACAATCTTTACACAATTTTACCTAAGGGATCCACTGCTGGATTCAAGAGCCTAAAAATTATAAGGCTCTGCCTTCACCTCATCATAATTTATAAACAACCATCATCTTGTCTGTTTAACATAATATGATTAGATAATGTTGCAGAATTCATATGCCACCACCTCATCAGTTCTTAGCTTTTCCCTCTAGGAAACAATTACAAATAACTGAACAGACAGAGTATGGTACATACATCATAAGCACCAGCCTTGATCTGCTGGTAAAGCCTGTGCTGGTCTTCATCCCAGAAGGGAGGGTATCCCACCAGGAGGATGTACAGAATGACTCCTGCAGAAAATTCACACCAGTGTCAAGGAAGAAACTGCAGAAATGAATTTTGCACCAAACAACCATGTAAAACAAAAGGCTCGTGAGCATCATCCCAGCCACTGGGATGGGAGAAATACAGCCCCTTCAGGCTGGGGAAAACAGTACAAGTGGGGTTGGCAAGGTAACCCCTTATGGAAAACATGGGCAATAATGACCATTTGACAATATCAGATTAGGAACACTGGAAATGTTTATCTAGCTGGAGAAATAACATTCCATGAGTCTGGATGTTCTAGGAAAATGCATTCTTTACTTATGGCTTTATCACGGCTTATACTGGTGTCTGAAAGATTCTGTTATAACTATTCTCGTGCAAAGCAAATTTGGGAAACTGAAATTCCTCTGTATTTGGTCAATAGGAAATGGAAAAGACCACCTGCTAGTCTGACAGAGATGATGCCCTCTGACTGAAGAAAAGTGTTGTCATAGATAAACACACACTAAGTGTGGGCAGAAGTGAAATAAGGAAAGCAGCCCCTGTTCTCAGCTGGAGAGCTGCCACTTGCCAGTGCCTCAGAAGGCACTTTTGAGAAGTGCATGATAAAGCAATTGCTCTGTCCTCCACTTCAGAAAACATTTAATTTTGTGGTTTATACCTGCAGATGGGGTATATTGCTCAGACTGAATTTTAGGCTCCTTGTGAACTCAATGTCCAGCTCACAGTATGAACTGGTGTGTTTACAACTAATGAGGCACCACACACCTGCAGCTATTCTTTGAATACTCTTTCCAAGTGTGTTGTGCAGACATGGCCAAGAACGCCATGATAACAGAACTTAGTAAATAATTTTTTAAAAAAGAAGCTTGTAGGGTAACAAAAATTCCAATGTGATTCCTCTGCTAGAAATTAATACTGAATTCTATTAAAAACCTATTTTCTGATGCACAGTATCATGTACCCTGGATATAATTTCTGACCCTTAAGATGTTTTACAGTGAATATGACTTTCAGAACAACTTCTTACCACATGCCCACATATCCACAGGTTTTCCATAAGGATCTTTTCGTAACACCTCTGGAGAAAGGTATCCTGGAGTACCAGCAAAGCCTGTCAAAAGGCAAGGCAACTCTGGTCAAAACCTGTATGTGCTCTGCAAAAAGTAAGCAGAGGGGCAGCTACTATTCCCTATATGCAAGCAGAGATATGTATGTATGTAGGCACTGTACCCTATTTGTAACTAGATATAGGTTGCACCAAATTAGAGCTACATCCAATCTGATCTTTCCACTGCAGAACTCATTTCTGCCAAGTCATTCCACTTCTGGAAACCTCTTAAGAAAAGTTTACAGGAAGCATCTCTGAAGCAATCTGGCCTTTAAAATTTATATGTTCTTCATCCTTTATTCATTACCAGCAGTGCTGCCTCTCTGAGCAGAACTGCAAAAAGTAGGTATAAACATTACTTTTCTTAGAACAGTGTAACAGATAAAAACTTAATGACCATTAACAGTCTGCACCATTTCAGTGAGTACTCTGCTCTGGCCTAAAATAAATGCTTGGGAATTCCTGAGAGGTGAGAATTTGGTGGCTTTCATGAAGGACCACATGCCATTTGTGCACTATCACCCTGGATTCCACAATACTCATGAGAGACAGTGGTAACATATAAAGTGTACAGCTACAGAAAAAAAGAAGTGTTTGCCCTGCAGTCACCAATTACTTGGGAGTGGGAGGAGGAAATGAAGGAACACATTTTGTAAATTCTACTGAGAAAAGAGCTAAAATATGGTCATGAAAAATAAGCTTGTTTTTTGCAGGCTCCTGATATGGAAGCTATGAATTGTTAAGGAGTACTATCACACAGGAAACACATCTTAAGCTCCTTAGAGAAGCTGAAAAATAAATGTTCTAAGTAGCTTTAAATAGAGTGCTGTTTCATATCTCTTCTTGGGTGCAGTGCTCATTTGAAAGGGGAAGCAAAGTCATCTTGAGTTTAAAACTTACCACAGCTCAATGAACATTACTATGCAAGATTTGAAAATAAACTCTAAAGCAAAAATAAGTACAGTACTGAGCTAACCTTATCTCTCAATGAAGAAACCAAATAGATCTAAACTGAAATAACTGGTACAGTTTTAGTACACAGAACCACAGAATGGTTTGGATTGAAAGGACCTTAAAAATCACCTTGTTCCAACCCCCTGTGATGGGCAGGGACACCTCCCACTAGCCCAGGTGGCTCCAAACCTTGTCCCTGGCCTTGGGCACTTCCAGGGATGGGGCAGCACCAGCTGCTCTGGGCACCCTGTGCCAGGCTCACCCCTCACAGGGAACAATTTGTGCCTGTTGTCTGATCCAAACCCACTCTCCTTCAGTTTCAAGGGATTCTTACTTGTCCTGTCACTACACCCTCTAGTAAAATAATCTCTCCTCAGTATTCTGAGTGGTTTAGAGTAGCACACACAGAAGGGTACACAGCCCTGATTTCAGTTTAGAAAACAAACAAAAACACAAGGAAGCAGGTAAATGTCATATATCAGGTTATTTTGTAACTGCTCAGAGGGACCCTCAAACAAGTGTGTACTTTTCAGAAAAGTTTTGCTGCCTGTAGTAACTCCATTAGCTAAAGCAATTTGCAAAGCTGGAAACTGTGACTGTGCAGTGCCTGGAGGAGATTGCAACACCTCGTACTCCATAACTCCTATGATTTCTCCAAGCGTCCAGAGGACCAAGACAAAATCCGAGACAAAATCTGTGCTCTGTTGAGCTCAACCTGCCCAACACCTCCCCAGTACATTAAGCACCTGCTAAAGAGGGTGGCAGTTTCAACTAAACCCTGTCAGGCTTTCTACAAATAGGCAAGGAACAGGTTTGCTTTGCAAACGCGCAAACCAGCAAAGTATTCCCTGCATTCAAACACAGAGTTCAAGCCAGTTTCCTGCTGAGGCACAGCCATGGTTCAAACAGAAAAGAGACCACCACACCAGAGGACTACACCAGAATAAAGAGAAAAAAAAGAGAAAAAATAAAGAAGAGCATACTGATGCAGAGCTATAATTAGAATGAGAGCACACCATGAGTCACTAAGTGCTGCAGAATCCAGTAGAAAGCAGAAAAATCTTATGAAAGAAAGTGAGAAAAAGTTCCAAATGCCCAGTCCACTGGAGTTCATGTTCTGCCCTGCTAATGCACTCCTAAAGCTGAAGTCAGGCACTCAGACCACTCTGGAAACGTTCTGCAGAGCAAGTTCCAAAAAATGCACAGAACCCACTTACCTTATTGACTGACACAGTTTTTAAAAGAAAGACCCCCTTCAGGCTACTTGCTTTTCATTACCTTGTTAACTCTTCCTTACGTGTATATTTTAAAGACATTCTGTTCCCTTCTCCTAAGTCCTCATGATGCTATGAGCCTAAACCAAGCATTTCACAAGAACCAAATGACAGAAAAAAAAACCAAAGTGCAAGATTTTCCAGGGCATTGCAACCTCCTCTGCATCACCTGCAGGTACTCTCTGTACAGAAAATAGTCCTGAAGTCAACTTCAATCTGTTGATTTTTTCTTGAGATGCTTCCTGTTTACCTGATGCTTTTGTCATTGTAACAAACCACTTGTGTTGTGCCTTGTTTCTATTCCACTCCTTTTGTACTGCTCTGTTTGTTGATGTGCAAGAGCAATCTCCTCTGTCTTTTGTGGATTACTGCAATCCATTTATAAAAAGGCAGGATTTAAAACAACAGGCTGGCTTATAAAGCTGCCAACATATGTCCAATGGCACTGCCTGTGCATCTCCATGTACTTATAGCTGTGAACACTCAACCTCCCAACTCACTGCCCAGGAACACTTTTCTGCCTCTGTTCCAAGCCTCCAACCACTTTGTTCCATTGCAAACTGCACTTTCTAGCTCCTCTGAGGGAGAATAGGCAGCTGCTATAAATATTTTATTCTGTATATTTTTCCACCTGGGATTTATAATAAATTTTTCCCCACGCTTCACATCTGTTCAAAGAGGGTGGTACGTGAGACACATGTATGACAATTGTACATGCACTATTGTTTAAAACCACCAGTATTAGACATTTTCCACCATTCTCCTTGAGGCATCTATTAACTGTACCAAGTAATCTGTAATTAGTGTCTGGCTACAGCCTCAGGTGCTCAGTCCCTCCTATTTTCCCTTTCATTGAAGTCACATCCCAAAGTGCTTCAGAATCAATTTGTCAGGTGTTTCCAGCTGACAGAGACCTGTTCAGACAAAATGTTCTGATGCCTGGGCAGGTACACTCAGCAGTATTACCCTCCTGCCTTATTCCTCAGTGATCTGAGGGGAAACCACCAGTCTCCCTTGCAGGTTCTACACCCCTATTTTCTGCCTCTAGTTACTCAGGAGAAAGTGGGAGAAAAGGGATTGTGTGCACCTCAGTCAGATTTACAGGCTGATGGAAGGTAGCACAAGCCAGGAACCAGGAAATCCAGGTTTTCCAGGGTCAAAGAGTCACACAGTTACATGTTCCACTCTGGAGTGAGAGTGGGGCAGTTGGGGAGGCTTAACCACTATGCTGAATAAATGGTGAGGGAAAAATGGTATTTACTTACCAAACCAAGCCTGTTGCTCTCCCTGGACTTCTATAGCCAATCCAAAGTCTGCCAGTTTGACTGCTGCTCCCTTGGATTTGCTAGCTAGAAGTAAGTTCTCAGGCTTTATTCAGAGAGAGAAAACAATTGAAACAAAAAGATAAGTAAATATATTTTAGGCAGTACTCTGGAAAAGAACAAATACTTAGAGGAGTGAAAAAGAGAAGAAACCCATGAGTTTTTTCCATGAAATTGCAAAATTTGCACTTCCCATTCCTATGTGGAAAGAATCACCAGGCCTGTAAGCAGCCTTCACGAGCTCTTAGCAAGACTAAGGCCAGGGTGAAGAAGAGAGTCAGAAGGGGCATAAGGAGCTGTGACACCTGCTGTGTGACAAGGCAGCTCAGAGATTGCCAAGAGCTTGTTCCTGGAAAAATGGCCCAGCAGACTCCCAAAGGACAGGGACTCATGGATGACTAGTCTAGCCCCTGGAGTTTGCAGGATCAGGCATCTACAGCTGTCAAACAGAAATGTTTTGCATGACATCCCAACAATAACAGCCCTGTGATTGTATTCAGAGGGCAGGTGTATTTACATTGCAAATCTTTCAGCAAAACCAGCACACCCACGTTTGTGCCTGCAGAGAACCTTTACAAATAACCATGTTAGTCAGTGAAAGTTCCCACCTTGTTTTTGTTCTGTAGGGTATGTGTTGGTCACATCTGAAATGAAATGCTATGGTACTCACACAATGAAAGGTAAAGGATTTGAACATAACAATTGTGTTCATTCTACTGTTCATAATGAATCCTTTTAACTCCAGTTAGCAAATACATCAAATGTAAATTGCCCAAAGACAACTTTAGTGTATGAATGTTTGCTTTAAAAATACAACTAAAAAAGTACTGAAATAATCAACAGATTATTTCAGAGAACTGTGACCCTCAAAGCATTTTCTTGCCACATGTGGCTTTCCAATGCCCATGGTTTTTAACAAAGGTTTTGTTCTACATTTACAGAATAACAAAACCTCACTTTCACAGGTATTGCTGTGACTCCTCAGAAGGAATTTCTGCAGTGGTCTGTGACAAGGGACTTCACTATGGCCAGGCTGGTGCTGGGGCTCCAATCCTGCAAACTCTTTGATGTGTATTCCAGGCTGAACCCAGGAGCAATCATATCACTTCCAAGGGACTATTTATGTGATGGCAGTTAATCCCACACATGTACTGAGGCTGGAAACAATTAAGATCATAAGCCTCTTTCAGCAAAGCCTATCTTTAATACATGTCAGCTATCCAGCAAAATATGCTCGAGCCTAAGTAAGACCTCAGCCAACGGTGATACTTCTATTAATTAACACTACAAGGGGCCCTGACAAACTCTTTGGTCTAAAGGTGGCTTTTTCCCCTCTCACCAAAGGAACATCTTTTCAACAATTACCAACACTGTCCTCTCACTCATCACTTTGTTGCTGTGTCATAGACTCGACAATATTAAAAAACTTTCATCAATAGTTACTTGATGAATCCTCTGTTTTCACAGTTTTAAAAACTGAGATGAAGAGCCCTCAGAACAAAACACAATCTCTACATTCACTTAAATTATCAGTAACCACCCCAACTACATTACATGAAACAGTGAGTGCATAGCTGAGGACTCTTCTCTAGTTTAATCAATATAATGTCACACTCTTTGCCATTTAACAACACTAATTTCAACACACAGTCACATAGTTCTGCAAGGTCTCCTCTCATTCACAGTAATTGATTCCTGGAATGCTGTTCTTGTATAAACCTCTTAAAGCAGCGGATGATCCTATTTGCTTGTGACCTTCAGGCAAGCCAAAAGCAGTGAAAAGCCTCATCCTTTTGGATGAAATACAAGCACTACCCCACGGAGCACATACCGCTTTCCCAAAAAGTGATTTTGTTCAAAACACTGCTTTTGTGTTTTCTGATGCTGGTTTGGTTTTCAGTTGGCTTTTTCGGTTTTTGTTTTCCTCTTGGGATTGTTTTTTTATTCCATTGCATGTCTCTTCTCTGCAGCAGTACCACTATAACAGATGAGTATGTTCCACCAGAATTCCTGACTTACTCCCATGCCAAAGACAACAGCCTTCTGGGCCATGCCAAGTGGGACTGAGTGCTTAACCAACATGCAGCAGCTGTCTGAGGCTGGCCAGAGGCACGTGGGTGATTACCATGCATTAACTAGGAATGAGTGCAATTACTTGGGAAACATTAACAGCACCGTGCAGGACTCGCTCCTGGATTCACGGTGTCCCCTGTGCTCCCGGCCACGGGCGGCAGCCAAGCATGCACAATGGCACTGTTAACTGCTAAGATTACTTACAAATAAATTAGCATGATTTATGCCATGCTTTCCCAGAGGTCTTTAATCCTTAAGATACCAAGTATTTAAGGCTCTGCGTATTTGTCCTTGAATATACCCAAAGCAGCCGCTCTTTGGTAGAAGGTAAGAGGGTCGTAACCACAAACTCACACAAGTTTCACAAAAGCAGGAAGGCTATGGCCTGACAAGAACGGCAATTCCTACCTGGAAATGCGCTTTTGCTAGCTGGTTAAGCTAAGTTAATTTTTTTCTGGGTCTAAGATCCACCACCATTCTGACTTACACCAGTGATTACAAACAGAGCAGCAACAAGAACTTCTGCAGGTCACAAGAGGCTGCAAAAGCGCCTGATTCTCTGTTTGCTACTGAATCAGCCTGGACGGAAAGTTAAAAAAAATGGGATCATCCAAAATCTCCCCACCCCAAGCATGCCATCATGTTGTGGACTGAGTTATTGGAAAAAAATCCATCAAGTTTTGCAATTCAAGGATCCATGCCAGCCCATAAGCATCTTCCACATCTTGCTGTTCTGCTCCTGGCATCTTCTTTTCAGCACATGGTGTTCTGCTCGGATTTCACCACAGTCTTTCATTTAATTCTTTGGGTTTTTGGCTTTTGCCACAAAGCTGTAACTGAAGAAGGATGGTTTTCTGCTTCCTCAAGTTTTCACTTTCCCAAATGGAACCGGGCACTACAGCTTGGCAGGAACACTTTTTCTCACACTGTTTTTTCAATTCAGCCTGGATTTGCTAGAATAAGAAATCCACGCATGGTCTGGAGCAGGCAACAGCTGGATTTAATGCGTTCCCAAAGAAAAAGTTGTTTCGTGTGAATGTATGAAAAGTAATAGAAAGCATCCCTTATTCCATCAGCTTGCATAGCTGCAATCCTGGCTTTTAAAATTCCTTTTGATGCTAGAAGCACAGGACTGCATGTACAGTGTGGACAAGAACTACTGGAGCAGCTGGACTAATTTGACATCGTTCCCTTTAAACTCATTCCACACTACCCAGCTGTCATGCAAGATTTACAGATTGGACAGAGACTTGTCAGTCTCCTATTGTACAAATGTGACAAAGGAAAATCCAGGAGTGCATAATGAGTGAAAAATTTGGGGTCTACATCTTCAAAACTCACCCTGCTCTCTGAGCTTTTGGGGCAAACCCCTTTGTGTTCCCTTATGACAACAACATGGACCTAATAAAGTCACACAAGAACAGTTTGTTTGGGAGTAAAAGTTGCCAAGAAAGGTGACAGCATTCTGATTCCAACATTATTATTCATTATAACCACTAGAAACTCTTATCCTAGGAGGAAATTTCTGCTCCTCAGAATTCATTCAGAAAAAAACTGAAGCCCAAGAATCTGTGCCACAAGGGATTAGTGTGTTTTGCTGCCTTAGTGTACACACCATTTTTTCTCTGCCTCATGAAGAATCAATAGTGCAGACTTCCATTTGATTTCAAAATAAACCATCTTCTTTTCCTTGAGGATCATGAAGCTCAAGTGGCCAAAAGGCAAACTTACTATGAGTTCTGGGACAGCCTTCTCTCTTGGAGCCTCACAATGAAAGAAAATTATCTAGACTTGCTTCTTTCCTTGCCAACATATTTTAAAGGCAGAGAGCATTCCTCCAGTAGATGCCTCAGGCCATTTGGATATGTACACTGTTAAAAAAGAGGGAATGCTCTCTCAGCACAGAGTTTTCTTCAGGAAGGTTTCTATCCCAATGTTAAAGCTCATCTAGAAGGAACTGGACTCCTCAGGTGAGTGTGGTGAGAACACTGTAGAAATTCCCAGTTTTTAAAGATGTTTTGTTGCCCAGTCATCATTTGCAGGAGAGAGGTCTCTGTACCAGCGATCCCAGAGCAGCTGGCCTTCTGTCACTATAAAATGCACAGCATGCAAAGGCTACTGTGCTTCCCAAAAGCACTACAGATTCTGCTGATGAGACACGGGAAGTTGCCCTCACGCCCTGTCCCAAAAGCTCTGGATGACAGAGGAAGACCATGTGTTCAACAAATACACGCAGTATTGTTTTGCCTGTACTGCCAGGGGCTGGACAGCCAGGTACTGGCCAGCCTCGAGCAGATCCCCTCTGGTGAGCACGAACTTGTTCTTGCATATAGGCGAAGCCAAGTTAAAAACAAATGAACCGAGGGGAAAAGCAAAAGACAGAAGTATTTACATGTCGGCTGCTGGCGGCCCTGTGGGGCAGGGATGCTGCTCCGGGAGGGCGGCGGGACAGCAGCACTCACCTTGAGGTCGCGATGGACCACGCCCATCTGATGGCAGTGCAGCACGGCCTCCAGGATCTGCTGAATGCAATGACTGCATGCAAACACCATGGGCGCCCGTTAGTTCCAGCGGCAGGCGGCGGGGCGGCTGCCTTGCCTTCGCTCGGACATTAACACCAATGCCTTTTTAAACGGTAATTTTTTAAAGGAACAAATTTTGCCACTAATTCAAGATCGTCTTAAATATTTGGCATCCTCTGTGCTTTTTCCTCCTGGCTTCCTCAAAGCCTTCACAGAGGCATTGAAGAATTGTAGAAGTTTCCACAAAATTAGGTTAGAAATGGCAGCGATCATGGAGGTGGTCGCCAAGCCCCTCCAAGCCAGCTACTCCAGGTCAATAATTAGCTGCCAGGCGCTTCATTTAGGCGGCAGTCAGCGGCACTCGCCTCAGGGCGGGTCACAGGGCCCGGCGCTCCCGTCTGCGCGGGCCAGCTCCCGGCCCACACACCGGCACCGGGCACAGCGGGGCCAGGCCCAAGAGACGCTCGGTAGGCAGCCGTCCCCCCTCTGCCATGATGTCTGTTAGGCCTCTACACTTGCACACACTGAAAGAGGCATCATGCATTATTGTTGTTCGGAGGGTGAATAGGATAGGCACATTGGGAACATCGCACACAGCCCACCCTCTGCCCCTACCCAGCCGAAAGAAACCCCGAAATTCTTATATGCAATTGATGGGCACCAGATACTGACCTTCAGGTCTCTGTGAACTATGCCATTTAGATGACAATGATTAACACTTTCTAGAATCTGCTGTATACAATGACTGCAAAGATACAAGGGCAGAATGGAAGGGAGAACATTTTAAAGGCACATAATCACATTAAATACAAAATAAAAATAAAACTTAAAAGAAAAAGTTAAAGAACAAAAACAATTTTACACCTCTTGACAAGTCTTGATTGCTGTTTGAACTGGAACAACAACATTGCTGAGATATTTCCAGCTCCAACACATCCAAAAAATGAAAAACCAAAACCAAACCAAAAAAGACATTTAAGATGGAACATATGACACCTATGAGACAGACTCATCAGACTGTATTTTCATTCAGCAGTATCGAAGCTTTTTCCAGTTTCCAAAAACTGCCACAGGAAAAATAAAGTGGAGGCAGTAAAACAATTAGTGGGATGTTTTGGTTTTCTTAATTTTTGGTGGTGAAGTTAACATTACAACATGGGCTGAAACAAGAAAATGGTCAGAAATGAGATGATATACAGAAAACAAATGAAACAATGGAAGTCAAAAGCTAAGGAAAAGCAAAACATTCTTCATTTTGAATTGAATGGTTTCTTTAAAACTATTAGTAGAACAAAGCCAAGTCATTCAAAAAGGCGGCATGCATTTTCATTTAAAATAGTGTCCAGCTCTAGTTTAGTTAGGAGTCACCTGGGGAGTGAAAATCCACATTAAAAATTAAGACAAATATTTTAATTTGGTGCTTTCAGTAACTGAACTAGCACCAATTTTCCCATACCCAGGTGTGCAAGTTTTGGCCAATCCATGATGCCAAAAAGCACGACTAAAATATTAACATTTTAGAGCAGTGGAACTTTTTCAGACTTTTTTTGGCACCACAAGAGCTTAGCATTTTGTTTAAAGACATCGTTGTGGCACGAGTAGTGATGATAATTTATACACAGTAGTCAAGATGCTGCTCATCCAAAACCTTTTGACCATGGAATTCCGAAGGAATGGTCATAATCAGTAACTGGAGCCCAAGCCTGAAAACCCTTTCTTAGGCAAGTAGTTCACAACTCACTGCTGGGTTTGTCTGAGTACAGACTACTGGCGTGAGCAAGGGCTTGCAGGAGCAGACCAGTGTGACAGTCCTGGGAGAGGCATCCACAGAGAACAGCAACTACTGCTAGAGGGATACACACATACACACACTAGATAGATCTAGATAGATAGATACACAAAGTACACAGATGCATCATAACCAGATATTGCACTTATTTCCTCAAATTTGTACTGAAAAAATAAAATGTGTATATATATATTCTATATATATATATATATATACACACATATATGCACAGCCCCTTCCAAAATATCATAATTCTAGAACAGAAAGAATCATCATTGCAATTTTTCCTTTTAATTCCCAACTACCTTAAAAACACGCAAGGACAACATATACTGGCCTTTGGCATCAATAGCGGAAATTTGCTTCAATCACAGCAGGGAAAAAATGATTTGAAAAATTTTTCATCATAGCTCCTCTTCTCCCACCCCACCTAAACCCTACTGCTGTTTTCTCTTTTACAGAGTGTTTTGCTGCGTGTTGTTCTTTATTTAAATGCCTAAAGTATTAATCTTTCTATCATTCCTACAGACGCAGTAAGATCTGGAAATGGAAGCTTCCTAATATTCGGAGTAACTTCTTGTCTGTTCATTATTATCCTACTACTGTCATTAGGAATACTTTATTCTTTCCAATCATCTCCCAGTGATCTCCAAATGTAAAGGCATAATTTAAATTGCATGTACTAAATATGTATTATTGGGGGGGTGTGTTTGTAAACACACAGAAACATAAGGATTCTTTAAATTTACTTGCAGATCAATTAATGTGAAGAGTGTGAACATATTTTCTTTAAAGTAATTGACCACAATGTTTAGGATTCTTAATTTTATGACAATATTTAAGATTTATTATTATATGAGGACAAACATGAGATGAGTGGCCCTGATACTTTATGCATGCAAATTACAATAATTGTCAACTTATTATTCAAGTTTTTCAACAAGCACTTGCAGAAAATTGCCAGAGATTTCATATTTGAGCTCAGACTATGAGACACACAGTATATTTGTTTATTGATGAAATACAACAAAAATTTTCTAATTGGAAAAGGAAATTAGCACTTCTGGACTGAGAACAAAAAATCACATTTAATGCAAAATTCTTTTAAGATCAACTTATTTTTCAGACTTTGATTAGCAAATCTAAGAACCCACAGATGAGATACTTGAACTGTTATGTCCAGTTTGCAGAGGAAACAATGGGTAAAGGTAATTGAGATCCAACTTCAGCTTTTTCAGATCAGCAGACACCAAGAGACACCAAGATTTCTCATGAGTTCTCCACCACATGGTCGTGAGCTCAAACTGCCAAACTCTGCCCTTCCAAGTCTAAGAGAGCTCCTGGAGAAATCCTAGAGTCTCACAGACTGTGCTGGGAAACTGATGCCAAACACCAGGATATATTTAAATAACTATCCTAGAACTATCAAAGGCAATCATTAGAAAAACAAATTACTTACCTGGCATCTGCTTCACTGTAATACTCTCTTGCAACTATATCTTCAAACAATTCACCTCCAGTGACTCTGTTACAAAAAGCAAGATGGGGAAAAGGAGATTTCACAAGTGAAAATGTGCACCTCAAATTAACTTGACAGGAAGAAGTCAGACAGGACTAAGTGAAGTATTTGTACAGAAATGCAAGAGGTTTTGCAGCAAGGTGCAGGAACTAAAGGGGAGTGTTTGTCCATCCAAATCATTACATGAATAAAATGTATGTGGTGGAAGTGCAATCATAAATAGTAAATAAAAGCCAAGGGCAGCAGCATTTCAGGCAAGAAGCCAGACATCATTTAGGGATGTCAAAAGGAAGGAGTAAAACTACAAGGAAAAAGGGAACTGACCACCCAGGAAAATTGTGGCTGAAGCTCAAGACAGCTCAGGATAACTTGAAAACTGCAATATTAGGCAAAGGTAAGAAATGCTAAAACACAACAATGCTAAAAAAGGAAAAGGGTCTTTCAGTGTAGATCAAATCACAAGAGAGGTGTACCCAGGTGCCAGAGGGGCTGGCTTTTTGTGCTGTGCCTAAAAAGAGCATTACTGAGTTGGAAGGAAAGTATCAGTAGAATCAGGGTACCTTAACCAGTTTAACAGCAGATTTTTCCTAGAAATTTTTCATTTATCTTTGTGGAGCAAATAAGAATAGCTAGTTAAAGCACCACTGAAAATAAGTTATGTACAAGGGAAGAACTGTATGATCCTGGGGCCAGCAACAGAAGTGGCTGTGCATCGCTGCATACTCAGGAGCTCCTGGTACAATCAATGGTTTAATGGTAGAAAGTGGTTAAAAAGCAATAAAACTGTGTTTTTATATTGCAAAGATCACAGTCCAGAATGAGCCCTGAGCAGGATGATGCCACAATCTTGGATTGCATCTGGAATAGGGTGACAGCAAGGTAAAATCCCTTCTCATATTGTACCAGTTCTAGTCACTCAAAGTCAGAAACGAGAACTGGATATGCAGCATGAACAGCTACCAGGCCACCCAGTCACTCACTCACCAGATCCCCTCAGAGAGGCCAACCCAGTTTAGCTGGGCAAAACAAAGGTTAAGAGGGATGAAAATAAATACTTAAGATGAGCATTAGCTTGGATCTCCCTAGAGGGAAATTGTAATGGATAATATTGGTGCAATAATACATGAGCATACAACACCTATCAGCAAATATAAGGTTAAAATCAGGAGAAGTTTTCTAGCAATCATTGTGAGATGAAGATTCATAAGCTTTTCAGTAATTTCATAACACTTGTCTGCCTGTGTCACTTGTCTGCCTGTCATAGCACAGGAAGACCCTTCCTGTAACATTCCCATGCTTTAGGCTGACAGACTGGCACAGCTAAATGCAATTCTTCACATATACAGGTGCTTACATAAATAATTCCTAGATGAAAGATCAATGTTTGTATTTTATTGCTGGCTATGAATGTGAATATTAGCACATTACATTTCCAATAAATCCCCAAACATAAAAGCTTGAGTGTGCAGCAAGACACTTAAAGATGGAGATGCCTAAAAATCTATAGTACAGTGAACACAATTAGTATCGAATACAGTTAAGTTAATTAGGATTAAAAATTCAAGGTGAGAATACTTGGAATGTTCAGAACTGTAACATTCACTTGCAAACTGCTGTACTAACACTTTGTAGAAGAGCCCAGTTTTCAGCCACATTAAACGATGACAGAAATGCCCTGCTCAACCAGCAGCCCAGCTCCTTTCCTGGAGAAAGGCCAGTTCAATAACTTCATTTTCATTATTTCATTTATATTTGGGTTACAACATCCTTTTTCTGAGTTTCTGTCTTACTGACTCTTAATGTAGAGATTTTCAGGTAACAGAATGCTATTTTGTACAAAAGTCTGGAGTAAAATCTAGAAGAGGTAGTTTGTTGCCTAATTTGTATTCTCTTTTTGCTTTCTACCTTCCAGAGACTGGCTTTGGTTGCTGTAGCACAAAATGTTTGATTGATGCATATTTTGACAGTCTTTCATAACTCCTTTTTGCATATATATTTGTCTGCCACAGTTCTGGTAAAGAGGAATAATTCTCACTTTGTGATGAATGAAAAAGCAAAGCATCCTTTGATCTTACTCTTTCCTAAAACACTTCTTTTTGATCCAAGCTAAAGAAAGAAAACAAGACAAGAAGAGAGTACCAAATTGATGTTTGCTGTTCTCCAGCATGGAGGGAGGAAGGGGATATGAAATCTTACGAGCTGACACTAAACATTTGCTTGGTATTCACAACCATTGTTAAATGATGAAAAAACCTAAAAGCTACTGGTTTGTACAAATTGCTCTGGTTATTTTGTGATTTTTGAGAAGAGCATGCTAAAGTGGCAACAAATAAAGCACATAGGTTTGTTTACACAGAAGAGGTACAAGCAGCATGAAGCAACAGCAAGGCACTCCACACCTCTTTGAGAAAAACTGCTGGTTTATGTTTGCAAATATAAGAGACTAATTAGAAGAAACACACACATTAGCACAGACAGCTAAACCAGCCTCTGATGATCATCAGACTGGTGTGGTTTCCTCCTGGCTTACGTTTACTTCTTCAATTCCTTGATAATGGGAATGGGAGGAGGCATCTTACTGTGGCCATAGAATTATTAAATTCATCTGTGGCCTTTCTACTTCTGAAAGAGAGGCCCAGGCACTCACCTGAGGCAAACACTGTTTTCCAAATTAGGCTATTTTTTTGTATTTTCAGTTTATTCTACACAGTTCCTGCAGTTAGAACCTAAAAGCAAGGCCAGGATTCTTAACATACCAATTGTTGCATCTCATCAAGTGCATTAAAATGGGAGGCACTGAAAATAGAGAATCTCATTGACTTGCACAAGAGAGTTTTCAAGTGCTACAGCTGTTTCCATTCAGATACAGCAATTAATACTGACAGGATTGATTGGATTTGAACTCATCTAACATCATTAAGACTGAAGACAGTCTCATTCGTGCTTAGCAACTGAAATGGTCCAACAGACGCAAATCCTGACTGCAGCTGCCTTAGCCAATAGGGAAGGGGAGCAAAAACTTCATGAAGTCCATTGTTAAATTCATGAAGTTCATTGCTCAATAGCCATTTGCCACATGGATTTCCAGAGACTCCCACCTTCCCATTTGACAGCAGAACTGTTCACCCAAAAGCATGTCTGTAATGGAGTACATTCAGCACTGTTTCTTTCTCCAGATAAAAGCACAGCCTGAGGTATGCAAGTGAAGCAACAGGCTGCAGACATCTCTGTGGCATTTAATCCTAAGAGATTATTAGAAATTCAAAACAGAAAGTAACAATGATTGTTTTTTCCTATCCACAGAAAGGGCAGTCTTCCCCTTCACTTTCTTACGTGGGATGAAGTCTGAAAGAAATTTCTGAGGAAACAGCCGTACCAAATCCCACACAGTCTGAAAGAAATCATTAAGAAAATGACATGATGGCATGTGTGGGTGGAGTGACAGTGTTACACCACAGTCAGGCTCCTGCTGAGTGAAAACTAAATAAGGAAAAGCAGGCTCTTGGCCTGTGTGTTCAAGAAATGCATACAGTACCTTTTTATCATGGCAGCAACCACATGTTTGTAAAAGGTGAAGTTTCACTAACAAATACTAGTGAGCATTAAAGCAACGAGTTCTTAATCTGAATGTGAAAAAATCAACTGTGAACAGGCATTCCCAGGAATTTGCCAAAAGTTTCTCAAGAATGCAACCTGTTGCTGCTCCAGAAACAATTATCAGTCAGCAAAGTCACTGCCTCTGCCATTTACACATTTTCTTCTTTGCAAAATAATTTTTACAAACCCCTCAAACCACATGGCCAAAACATAAAAGCTTTATCTATATATACATATATATATATATATATATACACACATATATATATATGTTTGAGGCTGTTCCTCTCTTTGTCCTGAATGGGATTGACAGGGAACAGAGGAAGTTCTAGCCAAGGCAGAACACTTCCTGTGGAATCTAGTTTTCTGCCAAGGCAGTATCTTTGGGTTACACATTAACATTTTACTGCAGAACACAGGCTTCTATTTGCTCCCTTACTATCGAGATCTAGATACTGTTATCTACAATTCTGAAGCTGTTCAAATTTTCTAGTTCACATCACAATCATAACCCCCTGAGATAAGTCTGGCACTATACATAAAATTTAAGGCAGACGTGGACTAACTGCAATTATAGTATGGCACACTTCCTCACAGTACAGCAGCACAACAACAAAAAAAGCCACTGTTTTTTAAAAGGGATATTGTCCCTAGAACTAAGAATTTTACATGCACTTCTTAGAAATGTTCTGAATTAAGAAGCTTTTTCCAATTTCACATAGAAAGATTTCCTTTGTAGCCCTTAAGGGAAAAAAAAGGCAAAATAAACCCCAGTGCATGTCAGAGAACAAATATGTGTGTTGTGCCCTGGAGCCATTTCCAAGCCAACAGTCACAGCACTTACCTGGGACAGACACAAATCACACACAAGCTTCTGTTGAACCCAGTCAGGATTTGAGTCCTGAATCCTGAATGCCTTCACTGCAGACAGACTATTTTAATATTTGTGTATTTCTAGTCTGAAATCTAGTGCTGAAGAAGTCTTTACAGATTTCTTTAAAAAAAAGTTAAGCCAGGAAGTAAACCAGAATGTAACTTGAACATGAAAGCACACAATTGCTTGTGTGCAGGAAGATTCAGGTTCTAACTTAGCCGTGCTGAATGCAAATACTTCTGTTTGTATGCTCAGAAATGGGCTACACTCCATTTCAGAGGAAATAATGTATTCTCATTCTAACCAGCCAAACCACAGGGGGACCTAAGAAAGCTCTTTGGGTAGGTGGGTGAGTGTGCTGTCTGTTAAACCATAAACTGCCCTGGAAAAATTTACAGTTCAAAGAGATAATTTTACTTAAGTAAGTCAGTCTTGCAATACAATCCCTATCATTCAGGTTTGTCCATATCCAAAACCATAAGCAGTAACTTTTCCAATGAGTGGCAAAGTTTGCCCATCCCAGGGAAGATTGAGGAAATCAGTTTTTCCTTTCAAGTTATGAACACACAGTTCATGCTGTCACCGTTCCTGCTTCTGCTAAAAAGCCTTATCTGGAAAAAACAAGCTCCATGCAGGCCCAGTTGCTACATGAACAATGCATGGGACTTAAATTTCTGAAGCAAAAGAGAATATCAGTAGGAAATTTCCTTTCTATATGCTGGGCACTTTACATTCTGAGTGGTGTCAAAATGAAACATTATAAAGCAGTAAGATATCAATCACGAATGAAATACTAAGAGAATCTTTCCCTCTCTAAACTCAGGCTTACCTTTTTAATCCAGCAGTTGAGACTTTCTGTAGGGAAATTAGTGTTCCACACACTTTTTTTTGATCTTTCCTTTAGACATCTGACTTGCAGCAAATGTTTATTTCTGAGTCTATCTTTGATTCGCTTTGGCAGGTAGCACACCACTTTTACTTACATACCTACACTTTATATTAAAATCCACTTCACCAGCGGAGTTTTACTAGTTTTTATGGAATAAATGGGATCCTTACAGCCACACTTACAAATGAGTTCTTGCACATGCAAATTATGAAATATGTTCCTGTCCTTCCAGCTGTTTCCATCTATTTGTGCAGCTCATGGCACCAGAACCAGGCATTTATCTCATGAGCTTGCACTTGCATCTCCAGGTTTAGCCCACTCCCAACATGCTAAACAAATGCAAAACAAATACTTACAAGTCAAAGACTAAGTAATGGAATCCTTCTTCTGATATGCTGTCATGGAGCCGCACTATGGAAATGGGGAAGAAAAGATAAACACCAGTCACCTTTTCCATGTTTTTATAATTCTACTGCAGAGCTGGTATTGCACCTCTGTCTGCTCTCAGCTGTGGGTTTTGGGGCTTTGTTTTAAATTCCCTACCCTCAGAACTGCCTTTTCCATAACTCTTACTTTTCTAACGTCATACCACCTTTTTTCTCAGCAGTATTACATCTTACAAGTTGTAAATAAAGCAAGATGAGGAAAATCCCCCCACAATTAGTCACAAATTTCAGCAGAGTAACAACCTACTAGGGCTTGTAAACAATTTCTCACACATACTGTGAAGAGTTGCAAAGAGAGAAATCTCCTGGCCAGCGCAGAACACCCTAACTAAGCCCACATTTCCACACCGCTCTCTGTGTCCACATCTAAAGCTTTCCCTGAAAATGTGCTTGCCAGCTGCACCATCTTCCCTCAGGATTTTAAGAATTCACACCACATCATGGTACAACTACAAATTAAGTCCTGTGGTTTTCCTTAATTACTTTAAATGAAATCGCAATTTCCAAAGGTAATACAGGAAGCCTTGTCAAGTAGTTTGATCCAAATAATTATCACTTATAGAATCAAATGAAAAAATCAGGGTACCCTAAAAGTGATCTGTGTTCAAAGCTGAGCCGAGCAACGAAGTGTAAAAGAAAAGAATTTTCAGATCTCCCCAGATGGTAACTTTCTGTATTAATCATTTTTTATACAGGACAAATAAACATGACTTTTTAACTTAATAATATTTAGCCCAGAGAAACATCTTGTGTTTACACAATACTGAAGAGAAAACCAGCTCTTGGCTGACTCAGTGTGCAGAGCTCATGATGATTCACAAGAGCCAAGTAGGTCTAAATCAGAGTTTGTGGTTTTGGCTGGTTCTGTATTTCAGATTACTCCATGTTTTTATGAAGGGGCCAGCCAACACCACCCTCCACCCTCCCAAAAAAACCCCAAACATCCCCAAATCAGCTTTCTGTCTGCCTGCATTGAGCTGAGCTTTCAATACCCCCAAATGTCTCATCTTTAAAGCAAACCAAATGTGGGATGAGCTTAGAGGAGCACCTTCACATTTCTAGGTGAGGACGGAGACCCCTAAAACATCTGGCTGTTGGCACATTGCTTTGTACAGCAGCATCAAAGACACTGCTCCAGAAATGGGATTCAGTACAGCCCCTTGGGTATGTCACAGGTGCTACACAGCCCTAAACCTGCAACATTTGGAGCTCACTTGGTCTGCTATGCATGGACATCTACAAAGAAGTTCACAACTCTTTAAGCTTTGTACATAGCAAATGATACTTTTCCATAGAAAAACCCTGTTCATCAAATAGACTAGTAAGAACTCCAAGCACAGCTTTTTCAGTTCAGAGCAAACATTTTCCTCTGTCATACCCCTGTTACCAAGAAGGCCAGGATGGCACCCTGGAAAGCTTCCCAAGCTTTGGTGTCTGCCTGAAGCAGGAGGTTCTTTTGTTTTGCCATTTCCTTCTCCAGAGCAGGACTTGGTTCCAAATGCCTGCAGAACCACAGATCTGTCCCTCAGGACTAGAAAGAGGCTGTGATTTTAGATGATGGATGATGTTTTGCTCAGCCAGAGGAGCCTAACTCCCTGCTAGCCAAACTCAAGTCTGACACATCTTCAAGGATATCTTCTTCAAGGATCACATTCTTTCTTTTCCTTTCTTTTCCTCCCAAAGGCCTGAATCACAGAAGTGAGATGGAACAAATCCTTCTCTGAATCAGGCTCATATACCCCTACATGTTTCTGGAAAGGAAAACAGGCTGAGGCAGCTGGGGAAGATGAGAGCTGCCTTTGGTCAATCCAGGCACGTGGTTATGGCTGTGAAGTGGAAATGCCAAATGAGCAAGGGCAGAGGAGAGCAATCCCTGGTGCAGAGCAAAGGGTGCACCACAGCACTGAGGCCAATCCAGCACAGCCCAGATATTCTGCACTCAGCCCGCCCTGGAAAAACAAGGGATGCTGGGATGACAACTGGAGAAGATACTCATTTCAAGGGGGGATGCACTACAACAAGTATTTGTTCAGTCACCGCGGACAGATACAGCTCTTCACACATCCCTATCAGGCAGGATTCGGGCATGACCAACCAAAAGGCAGCAATTATAGAGATTATTCATCCAATAAGTAACTCCCATCAGAAGCTCACACTGCCATTCCTATTTCTTCAGAGTCACAAAGCACTCATCAGTGGGAACAGTTCCATTTATCTTTTCTCAGAGGACGTCAGTTAGATCAAATCATTATTAACTGCAGATATTTCATCAGTGCTGTTATTAACAAACACGTGAGAGGGCAGCAAGGAAATGGGGGTAGCTCCTTTACCTCCTGCCTGCTGTGGTCCCTCTCCTCTACTGGGTTCTTACCAGATGCTCAACAAACTCAGACAAACTCGTGGCTCCTGAGCAATGGAAGCCTGACAGGAACCCAGGGAGCTTCCAGCCCTGGGCTGTAATACTGAAGAAATACTGGAAGCCCACAAGCCATCAGGAACAGCCCCACTTTGGCTTCAGCACTGATTTGCACCTGAAATACTTGCTAATCATCACACTGAAAACACCCTAACAATCATTTTAGGGAGAACTCCTATTAGCTTGATTAGCTTCCATTTAGCCATTAGTGTGGGCCAGCTCCAATCTGACCAAAAAGTAAAAGGATCTCCTTTATGTGACTTTTTCTGCTGAACTGCACTATTTTGTGCCTATCCCACAGAAAACAGCTTGATATAATGGCCAAATAACCTGATGATTTCCTTTTTGAATTTCTGCCTTTAAAGAGAAAAAGAACCAAAATAATAGTATTCCACATACTTCCACTGAAAATCAAATTTTTCCAGGCAAGGAGTCAAGTCAAACAGTCAATAGTCAGAAAGAAATTCTTGATGACAAAGATATTTAACCATAGCTAAACTTACTGCCTAAAACATTTGTGTGAAACTGCTCATGATCATTTGGCTAAATTTGGATCTGAATTAGCTCATGATACACAGACAGACGATTGGAGAAGACTGAACCTCACACCAAAGTTCAGTTGCATGGTCAGGACAGCAGCTGACAGATGTGCACCAAGGTGCCAAACAACCAGAGATGCTCCTGGGGGAAAACTCTCTCTGTGCAACACCATCCACTGTGTTGATGAACAGAGCATGGAAAAGGATTAACACAGCCAATGGCAAAGACACTGATTTTCCCTTTGGTAGTAGAGATTAAGATCTGTGGACTCCCAGACACACTGACCCTGTAACTCTGTGAAGTTTGATGTCTCAAATTAGTGCACCACTAGGAGGTTACAGGGCACATTCATCAGTAGTAGAGGTTTAAAATGGGTTTGAAAGTCACAAAAGCTTATGTAATATCTGCTGAAATATTTAAATTACCTCTTCAAGTTTCTGCTTTCCCGCAATGATGAAAAAAGGAAAAGGATGCTTTCCCTTCACGTTTACTTCCAAAAGTATAATACAGTATTTATGCACACCTCATGTACACCACTTACTGAAACAAAGAAACAAACACCCCCCCTACCCTTTCAAAAATGAACTTCATTATTTAATGGAAGGAACTTCATGGAATGGCTTAAGTCAGCTTTGGGTGTTCTATGAATTGGTACCCGCCTGCCAGTGGATATGGGATAAATTGTTGCATTTGAAATTAAAAAGGAAAAATAAAAAATTTTTAAAAACCCTCAGTCACTGAAAAGTCATAACCAGATAAGTTTTTTACTTATATTTGAACCACACACTTTTCTATTTCAAATGTGTTTATAAGCATTTTCTGCTGTGCTGTCTGTGACAAAGCAAGCCTTGTGCTCAGCAGAATTGTTGAGAAGTGGCAGATCTGCTGTGGCTTAGTACTGACACAACTCCCATCTTCCTGCAGAGTCACCCTTTGCCACCTTTCCTGTTCTACTGCATAAAGCCAGGTGATGAGGGATGGAAAATAAAGTTACCAGTTGAACTTCACCTGAAACTCTTGTGGACACCAGTGCAGGAGCCTTTACAGCAGTAGCAAGAACTGAGACCAAAGCCAGCACCCGTCCTACAGCTTTTAATCTGGATCCCAAGGCAAACACAATAAACCTGCACAAGGAAGCAGAACTGAGCATGCAAAGGTTTGTGAGGCAGTGCTCAGGAGTGCCACTGCTGGCACTGCTCTGCTCCCTTCAGAGCAAACAGCTTCCCTGCAGCCTCAGTGCTCCACCGTGTCCCACATTCTCTTGGGAATGCCCGCTCTAAATGCTGGAAATGATCTCTGCTGAGCCACCAAACCCCTTCCATCAGTGGTGCAGAAGAGTCCCAGCCACAGCTCCCAGGCAGGGAGCTCAGCATGAAAATGGGGTCTGTGCTGTCCTTCCTGCTCCTCACAC